TCTGTGTCTGCGTTGGCCCCAAAGCAGAAAGTTGAAGGAGTCTCTCAAAGATCACAGACCAGTACTGAGTATTCTCAATGACAAATGTTTCCAAACTTTAACATGGCAAACACTGCCCTCTAGGGGCAGTACTGAGCATTTCCAGAGATATAGTGTCCTAAAAACTGTTTGTTTGTTTGTTTGTTTGTTCAATGGAAAACAAGAGATTTGGTATCGAATAGCTCATTCATGTGAAATCATTTGCATGGTAAATAGAAAGCAGATAGCCTGGTATCAATGCAATGTATTTGTTTTTAAAATAAATCTTTTTTTCCCAGAAAAAGTAGTTTTGACTAATTTTTTGTCTGTCTTCCATGATTGTTATGAAATTGCGCTAACATTTTATTGTATCTTCCAGTATACTCACTCATAATATTTCTAAATGCTATAATTTTAAAATTAAATTACCTGTTGCATGTCTGCTTTAGTGGATCCCACCATCCATGAAATCACAATATTGTGCAACTGAACCACATTTCCGTACAACTTGCAATAACAAGGCACAGATGGTGTTTTCAACACCTAAATGTCAGTAAATTTCAGAAAAATGTATCTTACTTTGATCCTTTGTTTTGAAAATCAACAAAATTATGTTGCCTTTCCTGTATCTTACTTTGGTCCTTTGTTTTGAAAATCAACAAAATTATGTTGCCTTTCCTGTACAACATATCCACTTGTTGTATTAGTGCGCCCTCAGTTACAATGAATAAGAATGCCTTTGTTTATTTCTATGATGTAGTTGGCGCCCTCTGGAGATGAATTTTCTTCTACGTGAAATGCAATATGTGTACTACTGTAAAATACTTTATTTTCGCTTTGAATTAATTTTCGCTGAAGAAATGATTCAGTGAAAATAATATACATTTTTTCCTATATTTTACATTCAACTCGTCAGAAATAAATGAAAATAAATTCCATACAAAACGCCTAAAAGTATTTTCAGCGAAAATTAATTCCAGCTAAAATAAAGTATTTCGAAAGTATAGTTGTACAAGATATTACGGGAATGTTAAGTTGCTGTGATTAGTGATTGATCCATTTAATTTTTTTGAGTAACGAGAATTTATTAAACTTTTTTGCTGACAACGAATCAGCCAGAGCAGGCTGTGTAAATGCAATATTCACTTGCACATAATCCTAAAATATGTGCCCATATTTTGGAATGGGTAGTATTAAGACACGAGATTTGTATGTAAATTTTATTTGGAGCTGTTTTAACTCCATTGACTTCACGAATTGGAGGTACAAAATAAGAAATATCCAGTTTTGTTCACGCTACTGCGACCAATTGCAAGGTGGTGAAAATGATATTGGGTGTTACTGTAAGCATACGTGTTTTCAAAATAAGGTCCTAACACTTGCATTTATCTACGAGAATGTAATAGAGACGCAAAGTATCTGTCGATACAGTCCCGTCTTTAGAGGGACTGTGTCGACAACTCCCGAAACTCTAATCCTGACTGACCTCCATTCTAACGAAATAAAGTTGTAACCTTTAAAGGCGCATGCGCGGAGCCTTGAGCCACTATGTTCTTGCATTGTTTTTGTAAGACCACTTAATCCAGATTTATAGCTAAGTCGACCTTTACAAAAAGTTTTTTTTTATGCTGTCTTCAAAAGTTTCCTTCTAATCTCGGACCACTGAATCCGATTGGAACACACATGTTCATAGCTAATGCTATTAAACTAAGACGGGGGAAACCATGGACGAATCAATATTCATTTAATGAATAATGTTAGTTGTCTACCCAGAACCCTGCCCAGAATAGAGTTATAAAATAAAAGAATATACTCCGGGGTAGTCCAGCTCCTATTCCAACTGTCTGTCGATAGTCAAACCACCAGACTATATTAATATAACTCATTACTATCTTCGTAGAACTAAAAATGCGTTTAGTTTAATGTTTCGGCGTAATGGTTTCAGTTGTTGTGTATATATAATTCCAACAATTCCAATCTCTGCAAACCTGTACCGTATGCCTATCCGTATTTCTGACTCGTGTTCATTACATCATGGGGCTCCATGATTACATAAACCATGGAACTATAATTCCATGCATAAACCAATATAAATGGTAGTTTAAAACCATTTCCCTTGAAACTAGTTTATTTCATGAAAATGGAAAAACTATTATTAATAATAATTTACACTGATACGGAATGAATGATTGACGATAACCCAACGCTCGGACGGCGCTCACACCCTATAGCTGTGATACAGACAACACATTCCAGTGCCCCTCAACACCAGCACATTATTTTTTTACCGACCGGTTGGATATCAACAACCCATCATCTAATTGTTCGCAACAAATACAAGGTAAATGCGAATACAAAGAATGTTACAAAGCTGTACTTAAAGTTAAGACTGAAAACAAACGAAGCTTCCCCTGTAACTATTATAAATAAGACAATGAAGGTGTCAACGTGTTGTTGTTTAAGTGAAATCTGATCAGAAATCGCTAAGATAATGACAAGACAAAGAAGGGTATCCGATACCTCGGCGTAATAATCTAAATACATCGGAGATAATTTATTTCCAAGATATTCAGCGCACAACGAAAAACGGCAATTTCAGCTAAAATACAATAGATGAAGCGCAAAACTATCTGCAGGTGAAGGTAAGTTGAATAGAAAACACTTCTGCGGGTCTCAGTATCCAGGTTCCAGAAATTCGAAGACCATCATTCTGCCTTA